TCTTTCTTTCTTTCTTTCTTTCTTTTTTCCTTTCTTTTTTTTCTTTCTTTTTTAACTTGGGGAAGGAGGTTTAATTGGCATCTAGTTAGTAGCTGATATGATATTGCTAAACAGCTAAACATTTTATTTTCTTTACTAAACAGTGTAGTATTTCACTAGGTATGATGTTGTGAATTTAAAATGGTTTATCAGGCTTAATTCTTTTAGTTTTCCATATAAAACTAATGTTTTACTTGGTAGAAACTAAAATAGTAGTGATCTTTGGTGGGAAGTAGTGACCAGAGGGGAATCCTACATGTCATGAATTAGATGGGGCTTCCATGGCTGTTTACATAGGTAGATTCTTGAGTTATACACTGAAGGTTTATGTATTTTACTGTATGTGTGTGTATCATCAAGGACATGGGTATAGAATATCATAGATTATTTTCCTTAGAAATACAGGATGAACTTTCCTTATCAGAAAATTCAAAATGCTTCAAAACCTGAAACTTGGTTTTATTACCTTTTAAGTAGTTGTACAAAAGAATTACCATTCAACCCAGTGTGGGTGGCTCATGCCTATAATCCTAGCTACTCAGGAGGCTGAGATCTGAGGATCACAGTTCAAAGCCAGCCCTAGCAGGAAAGGCTATAAAACTCCAATAAACCACCAGAAAACCAGAAGTGGTGCTGTGGTTCACTAGCCTTCAGCTGAAGAGTTGAGGGACAGCACGCAGGCCCAGAATTCAAGCCCCATGACTAACAACAACAAAAAGTACAAAAATTCCCAAATATGAAACACATCTGGTCCCAAGCATTTTGAATGAGGCATATTTAACTTATAATAAGTATTAGATATTTCTGATCAGTTGATAACTAAGTGAAGAATAAGCCTCAAGCAGATATGAAACCCATCTACCTTCTTTTGTTTAGTCAGTTATAGCACACTCTGAAATTGGCTTCTTTGATGTGTTTGGGATGACTGCTTGATGGGTATGATCATACTAAACAATCTTGATCATAGACCTAGTAATTATTATATATTTTTGAAGTGCTGTGTGGTGAGTACTGCATTATTCTACTTCATTATTTTTCATGTAAAGCAACAGCTTTATTAGATTAATGCTGTTTTTATTCCCATTTACAGTTAAGAAAAAAATGAGGCTTAGATTATTTCCTGAATGAGACTTGTTGATAAATCCTAAGTCAAGATCAGATCCAATCCCCCATTATTCTAGAATTGTCCTTTTTATACTAAAGGTGTTCTATGGTTTTTCATACAGTAGAATTGATCAAACTGATCCTCTCTTCAGTCTCAGGATCTCATCCAGTTGATAGTGTTAAAGCATTCTTACCTTTGTTTTTTTCTTCCTTAATATCTAGCTTCTACTTTTAGCTGTTAACTTTTTTTTTTTTTAATATTTTAGTAATAGAGGGCCTCACAACATGCTAGGCAAATACTCTGTCCCTGAGCACACCAGCCCAACTTTTCATTCTTTATAAGAAAAGAACCATTGGGAAGAGTTTAAAATGCTTATTTGATATTAAAATTTTTTAAATGTACCAGGGAAGCGCATTAAAGAAACATTAGCTTTAAATATTTTCCCTATGATGCCAACTCCTCTTCTCTCACTTGTTGACTAGGCCCTGCTACACTGAGCATTTTCTTTCTTTTTTTCCCTCCCCACAACCTGAGTGCCCCATGGAGGTGAAGGACATAGCCTGAGCCCATGCCATCAGTCAGTAGAACAAATGGGCTTGCTCTGCCTAACATCGGGCCATCTCGGATTCCACCTCTTTTATAGAAATGAGTGATGAAGAGAGGTGCGTCCTGCTTTGCCGCTGTATTAATACACATCAGGGGCCAGCTCCTGGCAGTAAATCACGCTACTGCATACATCTGTTATCGGCTCTTCACCAGTGTGATGAACAAGACTGCAGATAGAGGCTTCCTTGTGTCATTCTTTATAGGATTTTCCTAAAAGAATAAATAGCTCAGATCTCTGCCAACACTCTCCCCTGTCATTGTGATGAATTCAGCTTCTTTCTTAAACATGCAGCCACAAATCTTTTCTCTTTCCCCTTCCCCCATTGGTAGAAACTTTTGAATTGAAATTGAACTGAATTTAAAGATATTAATAAGGTTAGAGAGGTAGAATGTGAAGGAATGGTGATACTATATTTGTCTTTTTGTTCTAGTGGTAGCAAAAGGCTAGGGAAAAGAACCCCTTCATTGAGTCACTAAGTAGACCCTTCTTGGAAGTGTAGCACCTTATTTCTTCTTCTAATCTTCTCTTCCCTCCCCTATATGGCTTAATAGCATGCAGATGTTTAGTGCATAGAGCTGTGCCCTGGACCTTAGGGAGTAAGTGTGCAAACCTGCTTCTAAGACTGGTGCCCTAATCTTTACCTCAGGATGAAGTAAACATGCTGTTTGATCTTTTAGAATGTACTTGGGAGAGGTTGGCAGCATGGGTCAGTTGGTAGAGTGTCCAGCCAATGACTGAAAGGGTCAGGTACCAAGTTCAAATACTAGTCTCATACCTAAAAACAGAAAAAGGAAAAAAAGATGCATTTGGCAAAGAATAAAAAAAAAAAAGACTTTCTCTAAATATTGAGACTAAGCAGCTATAAGAAACACAAGGATGAAAACTAGAGTTCTTGAGATGATTTTCTTCATGAGATGATAGATTTGAGCCAGTTCTTCATAGACTAAACACATAGCTATCAGTATATGGGAACTGGGACGATCGGAGATTCTATTAAGAGGCTAGATTATTTTGGGTATTCCATAAGCCTTTCTTGACCTTCCTTTCCCTGTAATAGGATTTGTGACCTTAGAGCATCATTCAGAAGGATCCTTAACAGTTAATCCGTTAGTCACACGAGACTCTGAACATCAGGCCAATGGTGTTAGTTAGGGATACATTCAGAACAGCAAGGTTTTGCTCACTGATAAGCCCCCAATATGTTGTCGAATACCTAGCACATAGAATAGGTTCCCTAGACAAACTTGCTTTTTGGATAAACTAATAGTATCTTAAAATTGAAATAGTATTTTTAGGTATTATTCTATTATTTACATGGGAAATACTGAGTGACCATAAAAGAACATTTAGTAGATATATGAAGTGTAAAGACAAATACTGCAGGTAATATTCATGAACCCATTATCTGCTTTAAGAAAAAGAATATTATTTTTGTAGTTTTTATGCTGGCCCTGGGCTTTGAACAGCCCCTGGGCACTGTCCCCTGAACCTTTATGCTCAAAGCTGGAGCCCTACCACTTGAGCTCCACCTCCAGTTTTTTTTTTATTGGAGATAAAGAGTTCTGGGAACATTACTGCTCAGGTTATCTTTGAACCTCAATTCTCAGATCTCAATCTCTGAGTAGCTAGGATTGCAGATGAGAGCCACTGGTGCCATCAGCACCCAGTTAACAATATTACTTAAAAAAAAATCATTGTTATAAAGGTGATATACAAAGGGGCATCCCTTCCCTCCTCTCTCCCAGTTTTTCTCTCCCATTCCCATCCACAAGTAAGAATATTACTTTTAACTGCTTCTTCCCACTTTGCTCAGAGGTAAGTTACTTCATTTTTTTCTTTTCAGTTATTTATCATTCTTTTGGCCTTTTTTCTCAAATAATTGTTTGTCCCTGAGCTTTTTTTTTTTTTTGCTGAAGGCTAATGCTCTACCACAGCTCCACTTCCCATTTTCTAGTGGTTGGAGTCTCATGGGCTTTCTTGCCTGGGCTCGCTTTGGACTGTGATCCTTAAATCTCAGCCTCCTGAGTAGGTAGGATTATAGGCATGAGCCACCAGCGCCCAGCTTTCTCAAGTAGTTTTAATACACATATGTATCTTCAGTATATTGTCTGTTTTGGCATGTTTCTGAACCTTCTGTAAACGAATTCAAACTATGTCTATTTGATGTTACAAGTTTCTCCCAGTCCTGTTCTTCCATTTGGATTTTGCTTTGCCACAGTTACTCAGTTCTCACTGCCATATGTCTAGTATTACATGTATAAGGGTAATAAATCCACTACAATTAAATATTCTTTAAAGACACTTAGATTGTATACTGTTTTATGCTCTCACGCAAAGTGTCATATTAGATTGTATACTGTTTTATGCTCTCATGCAAAGTGTCACATTAGTCTCTGAGAGAATAAGTGCAAATGTTCTAAATTACTTCACACTCATTAGTATAGCTACACCAAAACCTAGAGAGCACAGGAGTTGGCAAAGATGTGATTGGATCTCTGTGTATTTCTGATGGGAATGAAAAATGGCACAACACTAGAGGAAACTGTGGCAGTTCCTTAGAAAAGTAAATAAAAATGGCATGTGATTTAGTAATTGTTTCTCCATAAAGAATGAAAAGCAGATCATATAGATACTAATATTCACAATAGTCAAAAAGTACAGACCACCTAGATGTCCATAGCCAGATAAATGGGTAAACAAAATGTATATACACATGATCAAATATGGTTCAGCCAGAAGACCTATATTATGCAGAAATCTGCTAAATACAAAGAAACTCATGTTTGTATATATTTGTGGATGTATGAACTCTGAAATCTGAAATGAATCTGAAATGAACTCTGGGTATGCTCTTATATTTTCTGATTTTTTTTTCCTTCTGTTAAAGAAAAAATTTAACATTCCAATTACATTCCTGGGAGAATTATTGGACTGCAGGGTAAAATCTGAGCTTTACTATGTGCCACTCTATTTTAATGCATATTTGTTCTCAGCAGTGAGAGCTAATGATGGTGGTTTGTACTACTGTACCAGGATCATTTGGTCTTTTTGGGGTCCGGTCGTGGGGCCTGAACTCTGGGCCTGGGCGCTGTCCCTCAGCTCTTCAGCTCAAGGCTAGCACTCTACCACTTGAGCCATAGCGCCACTTCTGGCTTTTCTCTTTTTGTTTATGTGGTGCTGAGGAATGGAACCCAGGGCCTCAGGCATGCAAGGCAAGCGCTCTACCACTGAGCCACCTTCCCAGCCCCCGACCAGGGTCATTTGGAAATGTGTGGTAATGTTTGGTAGTTTTAGCAAGCCATGAGGCCCTAGTTTAAACCCATCATTCTGCCAAAAGGGGAAGGAGAGGAGCAGGAAAGAGAAAGGAAAAACAGAAACAGAAAGAGCCTGTCTGAAAAAAAAAAAAAAAAAAGAGCCTGTCTGTAATATTGTTTAGTATAGCATGTGAATGTTCAATGGGTGACTTTTTACTACATTGTGAATTTGTGCTACTGAAGGTATTTGTTTTCTCAAATGGAGAAATGCTTAAAATTTTATGAAGAAAAAGGAAAAACCACTTGGTTTTAAAGTACATGAATTATTAGGATTAAGGATATTTTAGTGTTATATATCTCTCCTTCTAATTCTTCTCCCCTGACTGTTTTCCTCCTCCTTTTACTGCTACAACCAGTTCACATGGAAGCGATGGAGCCAGCTCCAGCAGCCCCACCGACAGTGCAAGTCCCACAGTCTCCAGACTCTGAGTGGTTGATCAGGACCTCTACCATAGACAAAGCCACTGACTCAACTGCAGCCACGTTTTTTAAGACACCCCAGGAAAAGGGCTCTGGATGCAGCTAGAGAGCACTGTCACCACAGGATCTGAAACTGTGTGCAGTCTCTCCTAGCTCCACTGTCCAGTTCTTTCACTTCACACCTGAGGACTTGTGTACTTAGAGAATCATATTGTGGGAATCTTAATACTTTCTTTCTTTTAATTAGTAAAGTATGGAAGCCACAATTCAAGAGAAGGATGCCTATGCTATGTCCTGTTTATTACGTTATTATCCTTTTATCTACAGCTTTCGTTAGAGAGCTGTTGCTTTTTTGCAGATGTTGTTCCTGAAATACTAGAAATGGCTTTTGCATATCTTTTGTATAAAGCTTTTAATATTTGAGGAAGTCCCAAATTTACATCCAGTTCCAAAACCAATTCCCGAATGGAACTTTGCTTGCAGGAGATGAGGCTTGCTATACTAGGCCTTGGTTCATCTAGAGTGCCAATACCATATGTCAATCAAGGTTTCAGTTTGTGGCCTCAAGAGACACCAGCAGCATGGGAACTTCGTGCCTGCAGCTGGTGTAATAGGATCACCTGCAGCTGCATTGTCCTTTCCCTCATCTCCAAAGTTGTTCTGCTGAAAGAGGACATTGTCTATTGCTGTAATGATATGGAGACATAGTTTAGGTGGGCAGCAAACTTGACATGGTCAGTGGATGATGTCATCCTTCAGGTCTCTGTGTAAGCCTTATGTCCTAAGTGGAACTTCACTGTTACTGTTAGAGGTCAATGACCTACAGTAGAAACTGATACTTTTATTATAAAAATGGTTTCTTGGGGCCATGATTTGGAGAGGAAAAAATGTCTTTTGACATGCCTTTCTACTTGGTGTGTTCATGACTGCTCAGCTGCATGTAGAGTTATATATACAGTCGTGCCTGAAGTTGGATATTACTTTGTCAAATTGAGGAATAAGTGACTGCCGGGAGCTGCTGGAGAAAAGTGACAAGCTTTCTCAAAAGTATTATCAAGAATGTCTGTCATGCAGGGGTCTGGTTGACAGAGGGTTCTTTTTTTGTATGAACTGAGTGCTTTTACTCTGAAGTACATGAAAGCTGTTTGTTCCATGCTCACTGTTCTGGTCACCTGGGAAAGGAGCATGTGCATACACACATGCCCCGGTGTTTTGTTTTAATGTAGGTGTGGGTGGTACTGTGCTTCCTTTCCCTAGAGTGAAATTGTCCCTCCCACACAGAATGTAATTATTGGTGTGTTGCTTTACTGTGTTCTCTTTAAAAATTACAGTTCCTATCGGTGGAAACTCCAGAATTTTGTTGTCAATGAGGTGGGCAGGTGGTTGGGTATGAATCTTGTCATTGTACTTTATGTAAGTGTGAGATGATATGAGTTGGCCCCCACAAGGAATATGGTGGAGGCTGGGGCAGATGGAGGATATGGGATGGGAGAACAGTGTTAAAGCCCAGGCATCTTCAGAATCACCCCTGAAGGAGTGAGAATACTGAAGGAGTGAGAGTTCTGCTGGAGTGTCAAGACTGTACTTCTGTTCCCTGTGAGCTGTACCCACAAAGGTAGAGAGAATGTGGTGCCTGTTAGCTCTACTGGCTCTACTGAATTATCTCAGTGATGAAGGTAGGTTTTGCTGTTAAATGAATTCTCACCTAATCCCACAGTGGACTATTGGACACAATTTTAAAACGCGTGATTGGATTTATGGGAGAAAACTATGAATGATCCTGTTTTTCTTTATGTTATCCTCAGTGGCTCTTGCAGAAATCGCTCCTGTGACCAAGGCATGGTACAGAGGTGTGCATCTTCGTACCATGTTACCTAGTCAGTCTATCCATGATATAAAACCTTAATTATTTACACATCTCTACGGAGATATGCCATTTTACGAAAACAGGGTTGAGTGATTTGCTTGAAAATCACATGACAGCAAGAACTGAAAGCCTAAACTTCCATATTTTTCTTCATTGGATTGTAACCTGTTGTTTTTTGTTAATGGATTTGAGTCAGTCTGAGAGCCACGTTTTTATGAGAGCTTTCCATGAATGCTTATCTTTCTTGGGCATGCTTTTCTATATATTTTTTTAATACTTTTTAACAGGGATTACCACAGGAATGCAACATTACCTGTAATAAATGAGAATAAAATTAGTTAACTAAGACAATAGAATATTAAACACACAAATACTAACCAATGCAGAGTTATAAATTATGCTTCTCATTTTAAGGTGCTGGATGCTAAATTAATCAACCTTGATTTTCTGTATTAACCATTTCCAGAGGCTAACATATCAAGTGTATTTAAATTTTTCAGTTTCCTTTTTATAATGGCATAGTGTTTAGAGTCATGAATTAAGAAGAGTCAGTTACCTTTCAAGAAAAAGTATAGCTTTACAATCAGGTTTTGTAATCATTGTTGAAGAAACTGCTGGTGTTGCATACTTTGAGGATGATGGTTGAGCTCAAGTGTTTGACCTGCTCAAAAGTAAAACTGAAACTGAGTTCTGTATTCATAGGTTTTTGACTCATCCCATTTGACTATACAAAACATCTGTCTGCATCCTGCTTTTTGTGTTTTTTTTCCCCACAATAGAATAAAGTCAAGACAATGTCTACTTGCATGAAAAACTTTGATAAGTTAGTTTTCCTTACCTAAGGTTATTTTTCAGATGCAGCATTCTAAAGGGATAACTTCATTTGTATTAATATTCCTGTATTGCTTTTTGGTAGTAATTGAAGAGTTTAGTGGCTATTTATGTTTTATCAAATTTAAATAGGGCAGAATGACTTTGAGTAGCAGATTAGAAAATAGTTCATACTTTCAATTGAATTAGTTAAAAACCAATTGCAGTGAAAGATTTCACATGTTTTACTGGATTATGAAATAGGATCTAGCCATTTGGCAGTGGTAACATCGAAATAAGTAGCATCCTTTGTTAAGTCACACTTAACATGTAAGACAAGTAATTAGGTGTGAATCCTAAAAAGATAAAGATTGAGCTTTGTATTTTAAGATTTGAGACACTGTAATAGCTGCATGTCTTCCACAGCCTACAAGTTGTCAGTGAAGCCACTTTTACTTGAGAAGGTGACAGTTGTAGAGATGAAGGAGCTGGTATGATGAAGTTGTCACTCGGGCTCTAGGCAAAGGGTCCTGATTGTGCCTGGCTCATTTCAGGTCGTTGCTTTAACATCAAGGCTGTGGTGTGAGCAACATGCAACCACCTTCACACTGGAGAGGAGGAAAAGACTGTTGAAAAAAACTTAGCCTAGCTGGGCACTGGTGGCTCATGCCTGTAATCCTAGTACTCAGGAGGCTGAGATCTGAGGGTCATGGTTCAAAGCGAGGAAAGTCTGTGAGACTCTTACCTCCACTAAACCACTAGAAAACCAGAAGTGGTGCTATGGCTCAAGCGGTAGAGTGCTTGCCTTGAGCTGAAGAGCACAGGGAAAGCGCCCAGGTCCAGAGTTTATGCGCCACGACTGACAAAAAAGCAAACAAAAAACCTCAACCTTGAAGCTGAATTCAGTTCCTGTGTGTTTTATGACACTTGTTTGAGTGTGGCCTGCTCTAGCAGCTGTCAATACAGATTTGGAGGTGTATTGTAGAGGGTGTTGTGGCTCTCAGGGTAGTATGAGGGATCATATGAGAAGTTTGTTTTCGTCAACTGCTTCCTTTGCTAGTGCTGGATCTGCTAATTGTACTTGACTATTTTCTTATCTTCCCCTCCTGTTAAGACAGCAGAGTTTACTGCTGATAGCAACAAATAAGAAAAAAAAATCATTAGAAACAGAAACGAGATAGGTGCTGTTGGCTTACATCTGCAATCCTAGCTGGTCATGAGGCTGAGATATGAGGATTGTAGCTCAAAGCTAAACTGGGCAGGAATATCCATGACGTAGAGCTGAGGCTCATAGTGGTAAAGCACTAGCCTTGAACAAAACAGCTCAGGACAGTGCCCAGATCCTGAGCTCAAGCCCCAAGACAGAAAGAAAGGAAAACAAACAAACACCTGAAACAGCAGAAGGTGACAATGGTAAATTCTACAATTGAGCACTGAGTGGCCCAGAGCAGCTTTTTTCCTGTGTTAAAAGTCTGAGAAACATGAAGATCCTCAGCAATATGGACAAAAAGATGAGCGGCATAACTAAAGAGTGGACTGTAAGGTTGTAAGTCCAGTAAAACAATTATGGCTAAAAGAACCTATTTTCCTGAATGTAGACAAAACTGTCAAGACTTGGGACTAAAACATTTCAAGCACAATATTGAAGAGTGGACTGAAGATGTACATGAAGGAAGCAACCTTGGTGAGGCTGGGAAGTGGGAAGGCAAAGAGAAAAGAAGAGAAGATGCACCAACCAGGGGCTCAAAGGGTGTTTCCTGGTCCCAGTGGTCCCCTAAGTTGGCAGCCTGCTGATCCAGAGATGGGGTGGGGGAGGCCCAGCAAGCTTCTAACAAGCTCTCCAGGGTATTGAGTGTAGGCACTGAACCACAGTTGAATAGAGATGTCTTAACATACCAGTATCATACTAAGGTCAGATGGTATAGCTCCTCCAGAAGTAAAGTCTTTTTGTATATGACTACTGTTAATGTCTATTTCCCAGATTTTCTCTTGGCAGGATCCTGAAAGATTGGAAATACTGAGAAAGGATGATATGTAAGATGGATGGGAAGAACCTTTTTAAATGGGTAAATATGTGCTAATGAATTTTTTAAAGCTACCTTGGGTACATAGCAGGTGTACAATAAATGCCACTTATATTCATGGTAATCTGCTAAGAGCAGTTCAGAGTATGCCGAATCAGTTCCCACAGCCCTGCTTCCGTGCCCTGATTTGGTGAATATCAGGGACTGGGGATCACCAACATCTGGCTATTTTTGTTGTCTCAGACATGAGTTCACTGTTTCAGAATATGCTGCCTTAATTTTAAGAGCTTTGAAAAGAAATCATGACATTTTATTTATTATTTATGTTATTTGTAGTAATGACTTATTGCTAAAACTTGAGGAGCCAAGTGCCCAATTCCTAAAGTACTATGACTAAGGAGTTTGTGCTATCTGCCAAAATGTGCTACAAGTTGTCCCATGTTGCTTCTTCACTTTTGGGGGGCTTTTCTTATTTTGGTGAGTAGTGCTGGTGGCTTATGCCTATAATCCTAGCTACACAAATGGCTGAGATCTAGAGAACCTCAGTTCTGAGCCAGCCTGTGCAGAAAAATTGGATAAACTTTAAAATAACCAGCAAAAGGCTCAGCTGGAGGTATGATTCAAGTGGTAGCCAATTGAGCAAGCAAGGGTGAGGCCCTGATTCAAACCCCAGTATTGTCGTCCCCCTCCAAAAGAAGGCTTTTTAAGACACCAGTTAATTAACATCTTTCTTTAAAAGCTCTGACCCTTGCAGATTTCTGATACTTTCAGTTGAAAAGTGAAAGACAAGTGTCAGAATATAAATATGACCATTTCATCATTATCTATCTATCTATCTATCTATCTATCTATCTATCTATCTATATGTTATTTTGTTTTTTCAATTGTCCTGTGAAAAATACCTTAATACCAAGCAAACTGATGCCACCCCAAAATCACAGTGACAACTCAAATTGTTCAGTATTTATCTCAGGCAGTGCCTCTTTTGCTTCCAGCAATTTTGCGAACTGGTCATTCTAAAACCCTTGCAACCTCTACCTCTCAATCCCACCAACTACTGTCACTTCCCTGGGGCCCATAACAACCTTAGGTAGAACTTCCCACTCTCACAGATCCTCCAATGCACACTTTCTCACTTCTTCCTTCTTATAACTTCGAAAGAAGAATCCTGTGACCTAGGCCCTCCCCTTAATCCATGCCCATGTTCAGTCTAATACAGTCTCTCAATCCTTGTCACACACAGTTTTGCACTTTAATATGTTCAAAGCCATCCTCTTCAAGCAAAAATACCCTTCTTCTACCCTTTGATCTCTTGCCTACCACTGAAGTATACTGCCCTCCCCTGCACTCTTGTCTATTAATTCTGCAACCCAGTGAAGCAGGTTTTTTTTTTTTTTAACCCTGGCTACACATTAGGATCACCTGGGGAGCTTTTGAAACAAATCTCCATTCCCCAACTGGACCACAGACCAATTACATCAGCTGGGGGAGGAGGGGCTGGCTTGAGTCCTTCAAGAACTGCAACAGAGCAGAGAACAGCTATGCTCAAACCCACCCTCACCACCATTAAAGTTCTTGCTGAGTTCAACAGTGATTTCCAGCTGCCAAAATTTAGTCCTTGAGTTGATCTTTATAATATTGGGATTGTGAAATGACTTCCTTTTAAAAAAATTTTTTTCCCCTTTTCTGCTCCTTCCTGATTTGTCTCTCTTTTTTTTTTTTTGTTCTTTGTTTCCACAGGCAAGCAGATTGGTTTATAGGCCAGTCCCACACCACACAGACTAGATGTCTTTCTCTGTCGCTACTCCATTATTTCAATTAACATATGCTAATGAGTGCCTTTGACATACTATCTTAATACAGTAGCTTGAAGGACAGACTGAGTGAAGCACTCCATTAATAATTATTGTAAACACTAAGGACAGCCTACTCAAGGCCTCAGTTCATACATTCCTCCTACAAACCACCAAGGGAGAAGATACTGCTAATCAGAATCCAAGATGGGTCAGCCTGTTTATTAATGGGTAGAACTGCCATTCATTCGAGTGTGTGTCATGGTTCTTCTTTCTCCTTCCCAGAATCTTGAACTGAGAAGAGGACCCCAAGTCCATTTCTATATAAAGATGCTTTCCATCAAATGTTTTTTTTTAGTCTGGCTTTGTACAGCCAGTCAGTGTTTGGCTGTAGGTGATGAGACAGACATACTTTCTTGTACCATGTTAGTTTTGGACTCCCATTTTATTAAGGAAACTTTGTTGTTTTAGGCACTGGCCTTTGCTATTAATAAAGTGGAACTTGATTTCCCACCTCACTGTCAATCACTGCTACTGTGGCTCTGGGTCTATGGATGTCCCCTCTCATAAGGAATCCTGTGGTTCCTGACTGATAAATCACTAGTTTTTGATTTAAAATTTAGTGTAGGAATTACTGTTGTATGCTAGCTATAGGAAGCTATAGGGCTTATCTGTATTCTCAAACTTCAACTTGGGGTATATAAATTCCTTCAACCCAGAAGTCATATTTAAAGTGCTGGACAGCCAATATAAATAGCAAAGGTCCTCTAGAGCCATAGCTCTGGTCACTGAACTAAGTGAACATTCACTGAACACTGACACTGAGCCTGGCTCCTTAGGAACCTCTAGGGAAGAAGCTAGTTGCACTAAAACAGGGTATTAAGGTCCCTTACATGTACTATTTGCAACCACTAAACCTTTTCACAGTCCCTAATGATGATGAGTATTTACAAAGTGATTATTCTGTACCATCTGTAATCTCTTCTTCCTTAACAACTCTAGGATAATTACTTTTAAAGTAATGGACTAGGTTTATAGTTAAGATTAACTTGTTCAAAGTTGCAGAGATAATCAGCATCTGACAGGATTCAAGTCTGACATCAAGATGTCTGATCTCAACTAATATCTTTGCATAATATAAGTGAATTGTTGGGGGCTATGCATGTGAGAATGACCCCATGGGTCACTGCACAGGTAGGCCAATTGGTGAAAGGTTTTACCACCAACCTGTTGCTCCTAGTGGGCTGTTCTTCTGTCCAGCAACTAAAAGGGGTTCATCCCCTCTCTGGTCTACAACATCAAAATGAAATAGGAAATTTCTGTGATGTCTTCTTATAACAATATATATTGTATGTAAAAGTGATGAGACCAAAGAAAAAGTCAAGAAAAGCTTCCAAACCTATGGCAGTTAAAATACCTTGTCTCAACCTGTAATCACAGCCCTCAGCAGAGCTTGAGTTAGGGCCTAGCTTGGGCTACATAGTGAGGCCCACATCTCCAAGTAAAGGAAAATAAAAGGTTTACTATTTGTTTGCCAAGGTAGGAGGACTTGTTTTGAATTATTGAAGATAGGTGGCAGACTGCTTTGAACATCTTGCTAATCATCTTTGATTACTAAGCAAAGTAGCTGCCGTGATAGTCTTAGCTTTTAGAAATCCTGAAGAAGACATTTATTGCCAAGCTCTGCTGGGATCAGGATAACAGGTAAAGCATTTCTGTTACGAAGTTCATAGTCTCTGATGAAGAGAAGAAAAGCTTATGTGGGGTGATAGCTTTAGGGCAAAGATGTGTTCTTGGAAAATGGGCAGGAGTTAAGTGAAGAAGAGAGGATGATGCTCTCCAAGAGTAAAGAGCAAAGCTGGGCACCAGTGGTTCACGCCTGTAATCCTAGCTACTCAGGAGGTTGAGATCTGAGGATCACGGTTCAAAGCCAGCCCAGGCAGAAAAGTCCATGAGACTCATATCTCCAATAAACCACTAGAAAACCAGAAGTGGCACTGTGGCTCAAGTGGTAGAGTGCTTGCCTTGAGCTGAAGAGCACAGGAACAGTGCCCAGGCCCAGAGTTCAAGCCCATTGACAGACCAAAAAAAAAAAAAAATGTAAAGAGCATGGTTGGTTTAGACCACTGTAAAGTAAGCATACAGAAGATCAAGGAGAGGTAAATAGGAGACAATGTGAAGGTGCTGATGTACACTGACTTGTTTGATTTAGACTTACTGTCCTCCACTGAGCTCAGGTATAGTCATGAAAACCCTACTGTATGGGTCCATGGTGCAAATATCAGAACTGAGATGCAAACAGGTTTGCATTCCTTTGGTCACATTCCTCAGGAAACTTAACCAAGCCCACCTATTTGTAGGAGCTACTGACTGCTTAAGAGTAGATTGAACTGGAAATCTGCCCAAGGCTAATGCATTTCCTGATGCATAAGTCTGATTGTTTCCTTCATGTTTTTGTCTTGGGAGAAGCTGTACAGGAAATATGTGGGCTCAAAATGTACAGGATGATGAGCCCCAGTTCCCAGTACTGTTCTTTAGTAACCTGGCTGTCACTACCCGCAATTGGATGAGCATTTTGTTTCTCAATAGTGACAGTCTGTTGATCTCATCATACCTTTTAGACTTAGCAGCTTGGTAATTTGACAGTCCTACTGGCTCACTCTAAACTGGTCTCATGGTTTAAGTCTCATTAATACCATGTTATACTTGAAGCTTACTGAAGTGAAACGTGTGTGAGTTTGACCATTTTTCCTAAACAGCTTCTAACTGATCAGCATGTTAAACCAGTAGCTTTTGTAAGAAATAGGTAAGTGACTTTTCATGTTATATTATTAGAATGTTTTTGTAGAGAGCAGAAGTATATAAATTTCATCATTGTTTAGCTTAGAGAATTAAAATATATTGACTGCCTAGCTGCCAATGGCTCATGTCTATAGTCTAAGTACTAGGAGGCTGAGAGCTAAGAATTGAGGTTTTGATGTCAGCTTGGGCAGACAAATCCAAGAGACTTATCTCCAACTAACCAGCAAAAAGCCAGAAGAGGATATGTGGCTCAAGAGGTAGAGTATTAACCATGAGCAATTAAAAACAAACAAAAAACAAGCAAAGCTGGACACCAATGGCTCATGCCTATAATCCTAGCTACTCAGGAGGCTGAGAAATGAGGATTGTGGATTAAAGCCAGCCCAGGCAGGAAAGTCCAAGAGATTATCATCTCTATTTAATAAACTACTCAGAGAAAAGCTTGGAGTGATGCTGTGGCTCAAATGGTAGAATACTAGCCTTGAGCAGAAGCACTCAGGCCCTGTGTTCAAGCCTCAGGACCAGCAAAAAACAAATGCAAGAATGTGATTTCTGAGTACTGGCACAAACACACACACACACACATATAAACATAGATACTGGCTAAAGACCTAGAAAATTTGTGGGAAGCATAAAGAGACTGTCATTAGAAAAATTAAGACTGCTGATTATTAGAAAATACACATGTATATACAACTAAACTACAAAGGTGAAAAACATTAAAATTATACAAGAGGATCAGAGATATTTGTTATATTAATAAAAGTAAATGTGCCTGAAATAGAAGACATGTGTCAAATGAACACTAATTCCATATTGTGTGATTCAGAATGATCCAGAGAAGTTGGACAAGGTAAACCAAGCAAAACAAGAAATGGTTTGTAGACTTATGAAAAAGAGTAGAAAAGAGAAGCATTAAATACTAGCGAAGTGCACTAGCCACTTATTAGACTGTACGAGATGCAGGAAGAAGCAGTATCTTAGTTGGAGATTTTAATGCAACTGTCAGCTTGTGAAAGATCAAGTGAATAAAGAAAATTAGAACATGAGAAGAGCTAACTAAAGTAGAGCTAGTTGATACATATTGGGTTTTACTCTAAACATGGTGCCTTTATTACACTTTATTTTCAGGTGTCCATGTCTGTATATGGGAACATACAGAAAACATGCACAAACTTTAGAATGGAGAACTATTACAATGGCATCTACCAGTAAAACATGTAATATAACTAGAAAACAATACCGGTCTACAATCTAAACTTTTTTAAGCTCTTTAACTATTTTTGAGTTGGATAGAAAATGTAAAACATTTTTTAAAAGCATTTTTTTCTTCCTGAAAAGTACATTGGGGAGGGAGTATTTATAGCTCTAAAACTTGTATGTTAAATAAGTACAACAAACAGTAAATGTACAACTCAAGGTAGGAAAAGAACAGCATAAATGTCTTCATTATTGTTCTCTCTTTTTTTTAATTTAAGTAGATTTACAAAGGAATTGCCATTCAAGGAAGCAGCTTATGAATACAATGCATCTTTATCAAAGTCTCCCCTGAAAATGTCTTTTAAAGCAAACAAAAAGTTGAGACAAACTGGTTAATTAGGAAAATGGGGGTTACTCAGAGTTCAGTTAAAAATATAAAATCTAAAACTGCATGCTGGTGGCTCAAGCCTGTAATCCTAGCTACTCGGGAGGCTGAGTTCTGAGGATCACGGTTCAAAGCCAGCCTGGGCAGGAAAGTCCGAGAGACTCTCATCTCCAATAAACCACTAGAAAACCAGAAGTGGCACTGTGCTCATGAGGTAGCATTCTAGCCTTGAGCTGAAGAGCTGAGGGACAGAACCCAGTCCCAGAGTTCAAGCCCCATGACCAACGAAATAATATGTATAATCTTTTAGCTGAGGCAATGACAGAGAATCTATAGAGGTAAATAATGCTGTGGCAGCTCAATGGAAACAAGGGGAAACTACCCTGGAGATAATGTGCTAATCCCCGCTTATCTAGAGCTTCTGTCATGAAGACAAGGATGGATACAGGAGGCAGACATCTCTGTCTTACTATTTGAGCAGGGCCTACTCAAGATGGGAGGTTTTCCTTGAGATCTCCCTCAAAGCAAGGACCATAAAAGAATGTTTAATATAAGAAAAAATGCTAAAGAAACCAGAAATGCTAGATAAGAAAACATAAGACATATGGCCTGCCTTTTATTGGCCTTGAGGGAAAAAGATGTTTGGGGTTTTTGTTTTTAGTTAATTACCAGGAATGTTAACAAGTTGTCCCTTGTAGAAGTTTATAGCTTACATTTATATTACTTGTATGGTCCAAAGTACTGCTTCAAAACTAAGTTTAATTTTCCGGTGGACCTGGGTCTGTTATAATCTTCGATGACTAGCAGAAGCAACCACAAGTTTCTGCAAGAATGGAACTTCAGTCCAGTTACTGAAGATTTCCACAGATGAAGTTATGTAAAATATAAGTAGCTTTCTATTAAAAACCATTGACCAGGGGCTGGGAAGGTGGCTCAGTGGTAGAGTGCTTGCCTGGCATGCATCAGGCCCTGGGTTCGATTCCTCAGCACCACATAAGCAGAAAAAGCTGGAAGTGGCACTGTGGCTCAAGTGGTAGGGTGCTATCCTTGAGCTGAAGAGCTAAGGGACAGTGTCCAGGCCCAGAGTTCAGGCCCCATAACTGGCACAAAAAATAAATAAATTTTA